TTAGAGAAGAATGCGGCGGGGGTTAATTACATTACATTCTATAATCTTGAGTCTATAACATCTTTCCCTTTGTTTTATAGGGTACAGGTGGTAAATGCCTATTTTGCAATTATTGTATTTTGAACATTCTACATCTGGCTAATTCTGTATTTGTGCAAGACGCGGTTCTGCTGGATAGAGGTTGCCACTGGGGCTTAGAGAACCCTGCCACACAATCTGGCCTGCAGATATAGCAACAGCATACCTGGAAGTGTGTGAAAAATGCAGTCGGAGATCCTCTCCTAGCCACATTGAATTAGCATCTTCATTTTAATAAGGCTCACATACAAGTTATACACACACTGAAGACCCGAGACAGTGTGCATGAGTGCATCTGCTCCAGAAGAATCTTAAGGAAGTATTCTTGTTTATTCTAGTTCATCCTGAATTCTGAAAACATTTTTTGGGGAAAAATATGTCTGCTGGCCCAGGTGATACTATATTCCTTTTAGTGATCTGAGTCTTTCGGCTGAAATTGGCCAGTTATGGCGCATTCTATTCTAAAGACATCTTTTGAGGAGTTAGAAGTTAATAAAACCCATAATAGCATTTGAAAAACTAGAAATGTTTCAAATGAAACTGGCATGATGAAGAACCAGAATCCCTGGAGTACCTTCTCAAAAACTTCAACCCCTTTCTTCTTTCTACCTTGGGGAGAGGAGGAGTCTATTACCACTACCCTCTCATAAAGAGTCATCATTACAGTAAATTGTGGTTATCCATAAAGACAATGGGGAGTTTAAAAATCCCTGCATGGGGATAACAAGAAGGTAATGAAAATCACTCAAAGCACCAGAAATATCATATATCCATGGTTATTACTTTGGAATTTCTTTCTTCCTGACTTTCATATACATCCAAACATATGGAATCATGTATTTTATATCCACTTGGGGTAAAATTATATACATACATATATATTTACTTATTCAGTTAACATATTTAAAACATGGATATTTTTCCAAGTAACTTTTAAAATGAATGTGTCTTTTCTTTCATTTATTATACTATTAGATCAGGATACAGCCTCCTGCAACTTCCTCTGCTAAGACCTTTATCTTCCTTGTTTTATCATAGCTCTTACCTTCCTACCTCTGTGGACAGAAGGATCTTGCTTTTGTGTTTAGTCCTTTTTCTAGTGATCCCCTGTATCCAGTTAGGCACACTACCGTTTAAATCTAGTTTTCTGTGCTTGTCTGCTCAGTACATGATTCTCTCCACCAGACTATCTAAGAACAGCCTCATTAGTCTCAGCATGGCATTCAATGCAAGCTACTTAGTCAGGACTCTTGGTTACTGAGGTGAGTGGTCTCCATACTGCCTAGTTCAGCCAAGACCTAACCAGAAAACTGGTTGCAGAGAATTCTAATCCAATGAGTTAAATAATGCAATAGATAAATCTATCTGAAGATGTTATACCCTGTACAAAGCTTCTCCTAGAGACTTACAGTGACATTAGCACAGTAGTAAAGTTTTGAGGAGCCTGACAGCTAACACACCTAGTTAGCATAGCTAAACCTGGTATTTCTTAATGTGTTTGACTTCAGAACTTGTATAACGTTTCAGGTAGCTAATAGCCTATGAAACATGCTTAGAGAAACACTGCTTTGTCCCAGTGATGGAAGAAAAACAATGTCACGCTTTGTCAGGGACATTAGTACAGTTTAAACCAGCCTATTAGCTAGTTTTCAATTAGCTCTGAAAATGCATCTGGTTAGCTTTCTAGTCCTATTAACAAGAAAATCTTTAGGAGCCCTTAGGCTTAGGTTCTTAGCCTGTAGATCACGACCCCTTTGCCAACCCCTATCTCCAAAAATATTAGCATTATGATTCATAACAGTAGCAAAATTATGGTTATGAAGTAGAAATGAAAATAATTTTGTGGTTGGGGGTCACCACAACATGAGGAACTGTATCAAAGGGTTGCAGCATCAGGAAGGGTGAGAACCAGTGGTCTAGACTACTCTCGTTTCAAAACAGGTGCTTAATATTTCATATCCTACATGAAAGGTGACTTTTTAATATGTTTATTCTTCTCACTATGGTTAAAGTAAATAAGCATAGTATGTAATCATTATTCATACACTTTTGACTTGAATTTCCTCTGATCTTGAACCCACTTGGTGGAAAGGAAGGCCTGAGCTATCTATCATCTGACAAGGCAGGAAACAGCATTTGAGCAAAGTTACAAACTCATAAATACCAGAGATTTGAAGCAAAACCAGGCTTTCTGATTCAGTGTATTCTAAAAAGAGTCCTGGAGGGAACCATTCCAAATGCTTCAGCCTGCCTTCATATTCTGCTTCTACAATTTATACTAAGTCTCAACATCAGGCTTAAAATTTAAAAGCACACTGGATGTAGAATTTTCTTGAGCATGTTTATTGTCAGTGGCTATGTTACCCTGTGTTACTGGGTCATTTGGAAGGCTATCATAATCAAGAAGTGGAATACAGCTGCAACAAGAAACAAACTTCAAATTACTTAGAAGGAAGTGCTTCATTTTCTAAAGTATTTCTTGAAGTACATGGGAAGTGAATCTTAAAACAAAAGCCCAGTGCCATGACCTCTGAGTCTACAAAAATATGATTTCATAAATTCAGGTTAAACACAAGGACGAGTCAGTTCTGATCTGGGATATAGGAAGGAACATTGGATATAACGGAGGTGACTTAAGCATCCTCATAAGGCTATGCCATATAAGAATAAGACTCCTGGATATTAAATAATGTTACTTTAGTAATGTTTCTAGGCCCCAAATTAAAAAGCCCAGAGACTATGGTGATTATCACAAAAACCACTTATTTGAAGTTTAAAATAAAAGTTTGCCGTTCTGTACCCTTTTCTCTTGTAGCAGTACCAAGGGAACAAAATGTTGGTGTTGCTGCTACTTTTTGCAAGCCCACGTTGTTTCAAAAGTCTTCCTTACATCAAAAAAATTATGAACTTTCAGACAGACAGACCTTTATAGGATAAAATTGTAAAATAAATTTTAACCAACTTGAAGAGCTAGGAAACAGACACATACCTTGAGATAACAGTTCTAAATGGATAACATCTAAGTGATGTTAATAAAAATGTCCTTTTGTTACCATCAGTGCATTTTACTGTGGAAAGAATCCTTCACTGTGAAACATACAGCACCCGTCCCTGATTGTTTCTAAAAATCTGGAAAATATTCTACTTCACAATCATCTAGATTATGGATGTATGGCAGATTTTGGATCTATACACCAGGAGACAGAAGACTTGGGGTAGAGGGTACAAGTTCATCGCAGGAAACAGTGATGCCTTACATACAGTCTTTTTTTAAAATTAAAAATGGACAACAACCAAAAAGAGACAACAACAACAAAACCCTGATAACCTTATGTAGGCAAAATCCAGCTTACGTCTTCTCTTGTGAAGAACAACAACCATCATGGGGGGTGGGGGCTGGGGTGATGGTCCAGTCAGTACAGTGTTCAAGTTGAACCCCTGGAAACTGGGTTAAAAATACAGAGCTAGGCCTGGTGGTGTACACTTGTAACCACCACACTGGAGAATCAACAGAGATGGATCCCTATATCTTGAGAGCCAGTCAGCCTAGCCTACTGGGCCATTCCAGACCAATGAGAGACCTGTTTCACAAGACAAAAATGGTTGACTGTACCTAAGAAATAACACCCAAAGTTGTTTTTTGGTTTCCTCCATATGTACACACACTCAAGTGGATATACACCCACATGTACACACACACACACACACACACACACACACACACACACACACGAAAGAATTTCAAGCATCAGTATTCTATTTATGTCAAAAAAATATATAGTGACACGTTGGCTCTATCATGGGAAAAAAGCATAGAGTAAATTGGTAATGCCTGAAGGGAAAGGGGAAGTACACGTTACGACTGCACAGTGAGCTAATCATAAGTGAATTGAAACACAGCCTAGACGGTATGAACACACCTGTCTTAGTCTGAGAATGAGAGAACAGCTTTTCTTTCCCACCTGCCTGTCCCCACTGAGGGTTCTACCCTCTGCTCAGTACCTGTCAAGGGCAAGGAGTCTTAAATGTGACCCATCTCTGTGCTATACCAGCTAACAGTCAGTATGAGGGGAGATGCTCGGCCCCTTCTCCCTGATGTCACCCACCAGTTGGTAGTCAATACTGCGTCCTGCTCCTGTGCCCTCTTTGCTCTGCTTCCTTTAGCAACAATGCCTCTCCTCCCTCCATCCCTCTGTCCAGTTGCACTCAGGAATCCATAAAAGTTGCACAGCACTAATCTGACCCCCTACACTCCACTCCCTTAACAGTCTAGAGAAATCTCATTTACTGACATAGTTTTATCTTTGTAAGCCCAATATCTAACACAGTCTATTGCCCCCAAAGGATGCTCAAAATTCTTCCCCGAATGAATGGACAGTTAGGTTAAAAATTAAATACCATTAGGCATAGTAAGTTTCCCACATTTAAACAGTATTATATGGAACCCCCCATGGTGAACCGATCTGTGTTCTGCTACCTGACATTTGTAAGAGTCCTCCCCATTTACACACATTCCTTCCTCTGCCCCGTCATCCTGACTCTTCGCTTGGCTTTCTATCACCATGCGTCAGTCACCCTCAATGGGCCTTGAACAGGTAACTCTTTTTATCACTTGGATTTACTAAAAAGATTGCCTAGGGTTGAACACTCTTAAAGGGTCTATTAAAAGATAATAATTGAAGCTGGAGAGATAGCTTGGTGCCCAGTAGCAGTCACTGCTCTTTGCAAAGGACCCAGGTTTGATTCCCAGCATACACACGATGGCACACAACCGACCGCAATTCTAGTTCTGGGAGACTCAATGCCCTCTTCTGACCTATTTGAGTACCTGGCCTGGATAGGGTACATGTTACATACGTGAAGGCAAAACACTCATCCAAAATAAATAGAGCTTGAAAAAGATAATAATTTATGCAACTTACTGAACACATCTCCTCTGGGTTTCTGAGGATCCGTCTGTATCCTGTTGTCAACCGTAATTACTCGTGTAGCGGTACTGGTAGCAGGTGCTAAAGTGGTGGGTTTGGTGGATGGACTTTCTGGGGTTGGTGGTAGTGAAGTTGTTCTGGGCTCTGTTGGGAGGGGTGGTGGGGGTGGTGGAGTAGGCTGTGGTGTCGGGTTTGGTGTAGGTCTTGTTGTTGGCTTGGAAGTAGGCCTATTGGTAAGGATGGGAGGAATATATGGTGTCTTCAGGGGCCACCTTGTACTTCCAGCATCAGGAATCCTATTAGCGTGTCCTCCATCACCCTTTAAGATTGTAACATTTCTCTCTGGCATATGAATTGGACCTGAAGGTTCGATCATGACTTTGGGGATATCTGAAAAAAAAAAATCCAAAAAATGTAAATTAGTATGAAAAGATTTCTCTCTAAAAACTGCAACAGGAAAGTGCAATCAAAACACATGCACATACTTACGGAGAAAATCTTAAAAACGAGCCAAAAAAGAAAAAAAAAACCACACAGAAACACCTCATGGTAATTGAGACCTATTTTCCACATTTATAGTCTTGTCTATAAGAAGTAATGTTATTTTCTGAATAACAAATGTGCGTGTGTTAGGATACATGTAAAAATATATTGGTGTTTCTATAATGAATATGTATTATTTGACTCACAAAAATGGTTTCAATATTTATAAAGCAGTAGCAACAGAAAGCAGTATTTTCCCAAAATATGGAAAGCTCACACTTTTGTAAGAAATGCAGTCTGTGCTGTGTCCCCTCCTGCCTGTGTTATGTAACTGTGCTCAGAAATCTACAAACTTTCCTCACCTATACTTTAGATGTATTTAACTTGCACAAAAAATTAGTTTTATAGTTGGCTTTTCTTCACATTTGCTAATTTTGTACTTGCTTTCTAAAAAGACACTCTTCTGAAGTCAAAAAAATTATTTGTGGAATATTTCCCATTGATAATCTTCACCAAAAAGAATCAATATTTAATCTGCCCTGAATGATATCCTCCAGAGTAGGAATGACTTCATGACACTTCAAAAACCCTTCAATCCACAGGATTTTATGCCCTGTGATTTTCCAGTAAATATTTTACTCAGGAAATTTTAAAAAATTATCTAGTGTTACATGAAACGTGTGGCAAATTTTGGCCTTTGGTTTGTCAAACTTTCATCTTCAAGAGCATGCATTTTTCATGTTTATCTGGTAACCCAATACTCCAAAGAAAACTTAGGAAAATTTAAAAGCAAAGCAGTTTTAAACGTAGAGAAAATAAACATTGGAATAATTTTCAGTAGTAGGGTTAAGAGACACCACACACAAAAAAAGAAACATGTAGAATATATTCAGTTATCACAATACAATGCCAACAATGGTTGTTTATTTCAGATTCAACAAGCTGTAATTCCCAGGGAAGGCTCCTTCTTTTTTCCTAGCCGAAAGGAAGCAACCTCTAGACTTTACTCAGGAAATTCTAAAGATTTTAAAATTAGAATGCATTAGAGTGTTTTCCTAAAAAAGTTTTTTTTTTAAAGTTACTCAATAAGTGATTTTTCTGTTTATAGAAGACCAGGCTGATATCAGTAGGTATAAAAAAATCAAGCCTTCAATAACCAATTGTGTCCCTCATCTTCCTTGGGGATGGCCCATATGCGACCCTGTATTTCCTGAGGAAATGACAGCGGGAAGGGGCGTTACTCACACACACAGTTCAGTCCATCCCCCTCGTATCCGTCTTTACATTGGCACGTGTAGGACCCATGTATGTTGTAACATCGGGCATAGCTGCTGCACTGGTGCTGTCCAAGGGAGCACTCGTCAATGTCTGCAGAGGTGACAACGGTGACATGAAACACACAGCATTACAGAGGTCCCCAGAAACGGCAGTGGACAGACAAGTACCGCTGGCTCCAGGATGACTGGTGGGTTAAGGTGACATTGCTCATTCAATGCCTCTCCCCTCCCCTGTCCCTGTCAGTCCAGCTGTGACCACAGTTGGAGACATCTCAATGCTATAGAAGAAAGGGATGGGCTGGTTTCATTACCATGACATTGATATTTGCCTCCAATGTACATGAGGTCGAAACCAGTATGACACTTGCAGATGTAGCTCCCAAACGTGTTGACGCACTGCCTAAATCGAGGGCAGGAGACCCTTCCAGTTGCACATTCGTCAATATCTAGAAACACAAGGTAATTGTATCTTCAGGAGAGCAAAGATGGGAGCTTGTTATAACTGGTATCCCCCTGGCTACCCTGGCAACACACTCCACATCGAAACATCCCCAAAACAAAAAAAAAACATTCCACACCTCCAGGTTTCACCTCATCATCCTGAACTGAATTCCTCTGTTCTCTCAACCAACAGCAGGAGCTACGACACCATCTACTTAGTTGCTTGAAATAGAAGCATGTGTGCTAAACCTTTCCCTAACAACTCCTACACCACCGCCAAGTCCTGAGTTTTCTACCTCTAAAAGATGTTGGAACCTGTCTAGCACCGTCCACCACCCCATTCCTACCCAGTATCCTCCGCTTTAGACTGAGACAAAAAGTCCTAGAACTGGGCTTCCAGTCTTCTTTCCTCCAGACTCTCCGCAGGGTCTGTAAATTTATTTTAAATTTTATTTTCTATGTACGACTGTTGACTGCATGTAGATATCTGTACCATGTGCGTGTCTTGTGCCTAAGGAGGCCAGAGGTGGTTGGATCCCCTGGGACTGGAGTAACAGATGGTTGTGAGCTGCACTGTGACTGCTGGGAATCCTGGAAGAGCAGCCCGTGCTCCTAGCCGGTTGCCTCTCCGGTCCCTTGGCATGTTCTAACAGCCCCGGTCTAACTTTAGGAATTCCCTAAGGATGATTTTCTAAGACAGGCTCTTTCTAGTTTTGTTTCTCTTACTACCTTCTGCTAGCACTTAGCAAAGTCAATCATTTTATTGGGTATTATTTATTTTCTGTCTTCCCCAGTAGGAGGTCAACTTCTTAAGGACCAAAACCTCATGTGCTTTCTGTCCGTTGCTGTGCAGCCAGCACTTAGCACAGTGTCTCCAATACAGCAACTACTCAGTAAATGGGTCTTAAGTAATGAGTAGCTCCATGCAGGAGACTCGGCTGAGCTCTTCTGAACTCTTTATACGCATGATTTCACTTACCGCTTGTAATGGTTTTGTGTAGTATTATTTACATTTTTTAAAAAAAGGGAGACCCAAGCTCAAAGAAAAGAAGTTCTTTTCCTAACTAAGGTTACACAGCTAGTCTGCAGCTCAGAAAGTGCAAACTCAGCCACAGTCTAAACTGTCATCGCAATGTTCTGGGAAAATGCTACTCCCTGTGCTACAACATATGTAATGACGCAGCTCTGGTGACCTGCTCAGCTCTACTGCTCCCTTCCTGCTGGGATACAGACACTGAGATCCAGTTTTCCTGAACACAGTGCTGTTTCTTGCAGTGTTATTGAACATGTGGATGGTTCCCTCTGTCTCATGCTTCCTCCTGTCCTTCAGGTTTCAAAAATAAGATTGTGTTGGTCCATTCACAGAAATCCTCTTCTAAAATACCTGATATCTCCTAGCAAGCAGCTACACACCTGACTATGTAACTGCCTTCGACTGCCTTCGTCAACCCCACAGCATCTCCTGACAGATGCTTCATGAGTGTACTCACCCACACAGGTCCTCCCATCAGGAGCTAGCTGCAGGCCAGGAGAAGGACACTGGCATCGGACTTGTCCTTTGACCACATCACAGCCGTATTGACAGTTTGCCATGGAACATGATAGGGCACCTGAGAAGAGAGTGAGTGAGCGGCTGCCTCCAGGATGAGGAAACCATCTGTATCTCGTGCGCTTTTCTCACATGTCTGGCAATAGGTGACACGGACTCAACAACAGAGAGTCAGTTAACCAGCCTTCTAAGAAGGGCAAAGCAGATGGAAAGATGCTTTCTGACCATGGTGTGATTGAAAAGTAACCCCGCCCCATCATCACCCAGAGCAGCCCTTTGATGCTTTAGAAGGACTGGTAGGTAGAGATAAAGCTTTCTCTGACACATATTGTTCAGGTCAAACTGAGGTCTGTCTCTAGATTACTTGAGTTAAGGGCTCTTCCTAACCAAAATATCAAATTAACTGTCTCAGCTCTGTATTCAAATCCTCTATAGGACAAAAGAAGATTCCCTATCGAGCCCCACAAAGTTAGGGGACTCTGCAACCATAGTCAAATGCAGCTGAAATATATTTTCACCAACCAAAAGTTCCAGTGGTATGTCTGTGTAGCACTAAATAAATTAGGTACTGTTATTTTCTATATAAAATTCAACTAAATCAGGCCACTACTTGTTGATTATCATAGAAATGAAAAATTTCAGCCTACAGAGAAGTTTAGGGTCGTGACCATCTTAGAAACACATCCCAAATGATAACGGAGAACATCACACAATTCTCTCCGATAAAGATATATGTAAAATGGACACTCTTAGGCCTGGGGGTGTAGCTCAGTTGGTAGAGTGCTTGCCTAGCATGCATGAAGGTCCTAACTGTAGCAACTCATCAGACCAACTGTGGCAATGCATGCCCGTAGTCTCAGCACTTGGGAGGTGGAGGAAAGCTGACCAGCTGTTCAAGGCCATTCTCAGATATATATAAAATGTTCAAGGCTAGCCTGGGATATGAGACCCTATTTATTTTTAAAAATCATTTTTTCTGATGTTATATTCATTTCCACTTAAAATAGGTTTTTTTTGATAATTCTTAAACCATCCTATAAAAATGAACTGAGAAACATTTATGAACAGACAGGATGGATTCTCTCTAAGCAATGCCCCAGTGATCATTAAAATTCTTTGACATGGAGAACACGGGGAGAAAACACACTGAGAAAAACATTAGAAAATGTGATTCCTGCTCTAGATACAATTTATAAACCCATTTACTGTTGGCCTGGACAATAAGAGGAATGCCGTGTATATAAATGTGCACCTCTTATTTTGATCTTTAGTTCCCCGGGCATGCATACAAACACACTCACACATCCTGTTGGGTAGAGAGGAAGAGGCAGCTTTCCCAAAGGCAGGCTACCAAAGCATGTCAGAAATCAAGCCTAGAGCACTCAGAAAACAGTTAAGATTCTTGACATACTTGAGCAGGACCCGTCTGGCATCAGCATGTATCCGTTGAGACAGTAGCATTTGTAGCTGCCGAAAGTGTTCATGCACCTATGCTTGCATGGCCGCGGCTTCAGGCCACACTCGTTTAAATCTGTGAACAGTGAGGTTAAAGCAGAGATGTCACAACCTCAGCACAGATGGGAAATGTTCAAAATGCTCCCCGATGGGGAAGATGAGGGCGGAAAATAGGTCAAGACCGTGAAATTACCAGTTCCGTGATAGATAAAGTCTGTGTGTATCATCGGATATCACATTGGGAGCAGCCAGAGGTTGCTTGGGACCTTATGGATCTCTGAACCTTAGGGACACTTGGGAGCATTCTCCTCACAGACCTGTGATTCTAATTACAGACCTGTCTAAATCCCACAAAGCGCAGCACGCTCAGCTCTTTGGGTAGGGGTGCTCTGTCCCCTGTGTGACTGCTACTAAGCTCACAATACCTGAGCTCTGCCATTAGAACCACTCTCGCTATTGGATTCTACTAAAAAGGATACTACATATGACACATTTCACTTTACAGAGAGTGTGCGAATGTTAAAACATCTGAATAATCTGACCTCCTCAAAGGGCAGCTACACTTCCAGAAGGGAAAATAACCCGCATGGATCAGACCGACCGCTATTCTATTTTTCTTCTTCTTCAATTTGATAGGTACTGTACTGACTTTGTATTACTAATCCATTCAAGTCACAAAGCAAGGTTTTAAAGCTTTCCGACATATTTTCGTTCGTGTGGCAGTTAAGAGGGGCGAGCGTGTGGGAATACTAAGGGACAAGACATCATTATGTATTTTATGTTTATTGGCTTAAGTATCAATGGGAAATTAATGAATTCCACAATATAAAAGTTTTCCAGCACAGTTTGCACACTGCCTCAAGTGAACATAAAATCCACAACGACATAAAACAATGAAATAGGAATGCCCGTAATATAGGCCTCATTAAAAAGAAATGTGACCACATGTTCACTTTGTCTGGAAACAGCAGCCTAAGTACTTGATTAGCATAATTTAATTATCAATTTATCCATATCACTGAATAAAAAAAACAGATAATAATATATCTAGCTACAGAGCTGCTAATCTAATCTAATCTAATCTAATCTAATCTAATCTAATCAAAGTTAAATCTGACCTACTCTTTTACCAGAGATCTATATTTCACTGAAACATCCAGTTACACCACGTTTTAAATGTTTTAAATAATTTTTTTAATGTTCACCAAATAAACATTACACCTCAAAATATTTTTCACTTTTACTGACTTTCCAACTTGGTCTTTTTTCTGCCCTCACCACAGTGTAAGCACATTGGCAGCAGAACAAATTCTAGAAAGGTTAGATAAACACAGCAAATACCTTTGCCATTTCCTAGGTTTTCTTCAGTTTTTTTTCCTTTTATTGTCTCTTGCCCAGTCAAAGGTTTTCAAAACAGAACCACATTTTAAGTGTTTTAAAAAGAACCTCTCTTCATAGATGTGTAGATTGTTTTATCAAAAAACTTAACTTCCATGTCTGTTGAAATCTGCTTGATTTCAGGGTGGCTGCCTGAGGTGAAATTCTCCTGCTTGTTCATACTCTTCTGCCTTGTATTTGAAAATGTATTAATCATTTGCATCAGGAAATTCTTTCTTAGTTCCTAAAAGTTTTCTTATCATCCTTAACATCAATCCTGTCGACATCACACTGGCTTTCTGGCTCCCTGGACACAACCTGAGAGGTACTTATAAAGCTGAGTATAAGAGAGACTCTTATTCCAAAAGCCACAAAATAGAGTAAGATATGGCTGTATTTCAGGAGAAGGCGATTGATGGCTTTTTAAGAGTGTCAATTAAGATTCCCTAGTTTATTTTTAGAGAGCAACACAAACTCCTGGTGGTGTCTTACTGGATCCAGCAGCTGTTCATAACCAGAGCAGGCTCACAAGCCAGAACTATTTGATGCCAGTGGGAGTCTCTCTGTCACCCACCCGTGCTTAAAGCTGAAGCCAACTGAAGGCAGTGCCCCCACAACCTGGTCCAGTGCTGGTCAATGAGGCCCTTAGCACGCCTTTTGGAATCTAGCCTGTTTGCCGGAGGTCTTAAAGATGACCTTTAATCCATATTTATCTCTTCCTTCCCATGGGAAAAGTGCTTTGTGGTTAGGAATCACGAAACTAAAAGGATATAAAAACTAACAGTTGTGTTAAGGATGCTGAAGGGTTGCTCTCCAGAATTGATGCCTCTGGTGTGGTACAGGTGAGGAAGGATTCAGTTTTCTTTAAGAAGCTGGTCACTAGGAATTTGACCACAATCTAGTGAACACACAATGGATTTAGTTTTTCCTCCTCTTCCTCCTCCTCCTCTTCTTCCTCCTCCTCCTCCTTCTTCCCTTCCTCCTCCTCTTCCTTCTCTTCCTCCTCCTCCTCCTCCTCCTCCTCCTCCTCCTCCTCCTCCTCCTCTCCTTCTTTCTCCTCCTTTGGGGGTGGGTCACAATGGTTAGAGGACTGGGAAGTGAGTGTGATCAGGGTTCATGAAGTAAAATTCCCAAATAATCAATAAAAATATTATGGAAAAAAACGAACTGTCATACTTTTAAAAATTCTGAAAATTTGCTCTATGAAAAAAATATGGAAAAGGAAGAAAAAAGAAAGCATCCAATGGGTAAACATGAGGTGATATTGGTCCTATTACCTGATATTAAAAGCTATGTAATAATTCAGGCATGTGGAAGCCACTTGAGAAATTGCTCTAGCAGCTGTTAATGGCCTGGCTGGCATTCCCTTGACAGGTGGTTGGTGTTATGTTAATATCCCTGATGACTGCCTGGCCCCATCTCCAACATACTCACAGTGCCCCTTACCAGAACCCCTACAGGCATTAACAAAACAGGGTTCCAGCCTGTGAGGAGGGAACATCAAAGCTCCCGGCATCTTGCTGAAGAACCTCTTTGCCCTTCATTTTTCTCAGTGTTTCTAGTCTATAATTAACCCACCTTGTTTCTGGGTTGACCCAAAGCCTTTCAAAATTGAGTTAGTGTGTGATAAATGTGGTACTCATATCTGTATTCTTATCAATTCGAGTCAGAAATTTTAAATGACACTTTCAAATTACAATAAACGTCCTTATAACAAGCATGAAAGACTCCCCTTGATCCTCACTGTCTTATAGAAATTTAAAAGTTGGTAAATGAGTCTAGAAAATAAACCTTAGGGTTTCTATTTTAAGGTTCCTTTCATCTTACCCTGGAAGCATAGATCTATAATAAAATTATAATGAACTCTGTCATGCATATATCTTATACTAAAGGATGTAATTTTATCCCTTATATTCAAGCACTTTAAATACTAATGCATATAACCCATGAAGAATATTATCATCATGGCTACATTTAAGCAGGCTGGTGGATTCAGGAGCAAGGAGCAGGAAGGGGGGGGTGAGAAGGGAGCTGGTCCAGAGCAGAAGTGCAAGCTGCATAGCATCATCATTTGACTTCACGACAAAGAGAGTCAGAAACTGTATTAGCATGCAGACGATGAAAGGTAGCTTGAAAGATCTGGGAGAGAGTCCTCACATAAGATAACTGCTGTTTTACAGAAAGACACCCTCTGGTCGCTTTAACGCATTTGGACTTTTCCCCTTTGATGCTTAAATTGGATGATGTTTCAGAAATCTAACTTTTAAAATTTTATCTCACTAAAGCCAGGTCACAGGTGAATAGATGTCTAATTATTGACAGCCATAGCTTTCTTAATTATGAGCAACTCTAAAGTGAACACCATTGTTCTGGCCCCTTGAACAGAACAAGTACAAATTTAACAAGTTCCCAATCAGCAACAACAACAATTTTTCACCAACTATTTCAGTTATTCTAAGTTAAACATATGAGTGGGTAAAGATAAAATCAGAAGTAGAAAGTGAGCCTACCACCTTACTTCCCTACAGATTTTTCCATCACTATGGAGACTACAAAATAGTTCCAGGGGAACGAGTTCACAGCAGCCCAACAGACAAGCAGGGGAAGAGCTACCTTCCTGTCCCCTACTCCACACTGCTGATAAGACTGAGTTGCTTCCAACAGATTGTCAATGAACAACTAATTAGGACCAGAACTCCACTCTTTGGCCATTGCAGAGTGTGTACCAAAAGAAAGAAGCCAAAGTGTGGTCTGATTTCTAAACAAACCTAAAATCCCATATCCTGGACAGTAAGAGAAGAAGGGCATTAAATTCCTTCTAAAAATCTACCTGGAAAAAGTCACCCAAACTCATAGCTTCGTAGAGGAATTGTCGACTTCTCCAAACTAAGAAAACAAAACCTATCTTGCCATCTGTTTTTGGGAGAAGGTTTCCAAACTCAGAAAAGAGGGGGAAAGTGGCCATTCATGGTACAGGAGGAGGAGAGAAAGCTCCCTGCTTTCCAGGGCACAGAGAATCAGCAACAGGTGACAATTCCATGGCCTGCTTCACATGCTCAGGCTGAAGGCTGGGCGTCTCTGCACAAGCCTTCATTGCAAGAAGTCACATAACTGCAGGAAGCCTTGCAGGTGGGAGCAGTGGCCACCTGAGACAATGTACGCTCACCCCTTGAAGGTACACTTGTGGCTTGATGATCCGGGGGTTGGAAAAGAGGCTGTTCACTGCCTTGGTCAAGAGGAGTTGGGTGGAAGGGCTCATCTTCACAACAGGCAGAAGGTAATAAGAGTCAGCTTTGAACTGATGTCATTTTTAGCCCTAAAAATCTTCACAAGTATATATTAAACATTTACAAAATGCTGATAGAGCTTAATAAGGCTCTGGCTACTTCACAAATAATTTCCAATTGTTTTCTGTCTTTCTTTATTTTCTCTCTAAAAATTTATGATAGCTACCTTCCTTTCCAAAGAAAACTTATAAATTAATAATCCACCACTCTCATACCATTAAAAAACAAACAAAAAGATTAGCATGTGACTTTCACCAACAGAAGTTAGACAATGAAACCAAATTATACAAATATTGACATAATCAACTAACTCTGTTTAGAATATTAAAGTTTAAATGACCAATTTAAGAGTCATCTTATATTGTTACATTGCTAATAATAGTTTAAAAATATTCCCAAGTAATGCACAAATACTCATTTGCATCTGGATTTTACCTAAATCATAACACGACAGACCATCATGCTTTTATTCAAAAATAAAAGCTTACACCAGGTTCGGTTCACATTGAATTAGAATGCACAATGAATCAGCCACTTTATAAAGCAATGCTAAACTGTTGCCATTGCTGTCTAACCAGCTATGGTGACATGACTCGGCTCAAAGCTCAATGTCAAAAGGGAAGGAAGCCTCTTGGCTTTCTGTGTTACAACACACTCTGTTTATTGGCCACTTGACTTTCTAAATCACAGGCACCTTTGTTTCTGGGGTTGGAGCTTTTAGAAAGCAAGGTTGTTGATAATACCCTAGTTAGGGTGAAAGCACTTGCAAGTGCTCGGCAGGGCTATGGGCAGTCTACCGTGAGCTGTAGAAGCAGACTTAATGTGTGGTTCTACATCGTGGTTCTATGCTGTTCTTTCCTTGGGAATGAGGAAACCAGCATAGAGATCAGAAACCAATCCAAAATTAGTTAGTAATCAATAATAAATGATTTCTTCTGAAATTAATATGAAATCTTCATTTGGAAGAATGTCTTAATTTCTAAAAAATTATGACAACATGATATGTTTGAATGCTAAGAATCTCCAGGTGATATAACTTATTTGCCAAAAGGAATTCCCCAGTGGGACAACTGTAGAAGAATTATTTTTAATAGTATCCTTTCTTGGATCGGGTGGATTTATTTGGGTGGAAGTGCTTAAGAAGAAGGAAATAGGCATGAATAATATTACTGGAGAATAACAAGGGGAGAGCAAATGATTAAATATAATCTTGTCGGAATTTGAGTTTGAATTCCACCTACTGTAAAAGGCAGCATATGTCTTATAGCGAATGCTAATGATTTCAAAGCCATAACTTCATATCTGATCTTAGAGCAACAAGTCCAGAAAATGACTCAGAGGGAAGAATGAGCCTCCCCCCTCAACCCACCCAGATCAACCTGGGTGTGTAGACTATTAAATCCAGCCAGTTGAAAGCATAGCTTGCCCTGCCATTCTGGTGGCACCCAGGTATCTCTCATGTACTGGTGTCTGTTATTCATTTCAGAGCTTTATCCCACCAAGCAGGTTTCCAAGGCTGCTTCTGAATCAGCTGTGACTTGTAGTGAGATTACCTTACCCTGCTGCTTAACTAATCATGTGCTAACTTCCAGTTATGTGAGATTATTTCAAGCTTACTGCTTACTGACACTTTCCTTAAGGGGAAAAAAAACACCTTCTGATTTCCTCTATCTCTGAGGCATGCTTTCTACTTTATGAAAATGTGTGGACCTAGACAAAAGCAGTTCATTTATTGTATGGTCAGTCTGCACAATTTGCTCTAGTAAGGTTTATAGGGACTCCAGGCTGAGTTTCACACTTACCCAGGTCATTCCTCCCAGTTTGTATCTGACAGGCTCAGTCTATGGACTCCGACTGCATAAGATGTAATACCAAAAATCTCTGCGGGACTCTCTTAGGTTCCTATGCCTCTTAAGACCAAGAGTTGTGTGTGAATCTGTCATTCAGTTAATGAGTAGAGAGTGTGCACCTAGCAAATGTGAGTCCCATGTTAACATCCCTTAGGGACCCAGAAATCAGAGAGGCTGCAAAGGTCCCTACTGTCCAAGAATGAACCGTGCCTGTCGGGATGCATCCTGACTGCTGGTTTTGCAGGATCTGCAAAGTTTTAAGATATGTGAGCTTATTTTTTGTTTTCAAGTAAAGGATAACTCTTATCTTTTCAAATGCAATTAACGTTAACTTTTCTTTTTAGCTTTTTAACTCTAACAGTTGAGGTCTGCAGGTACAGGTTAATTAAGAAGAGAAGCCTTGTGTGGAAAACTGTGGAGGAAGAGTGAAATAACCGAGTTTCCAGTTGCAATTTTTTCATGGAAAACTAGCATAGCAAAATGAATATGGACTGTGTAAGTCATAGCTCAAAGCCATCACAGCTCTTCTCAACTAGTTCTGTTTACTCAGGCAAGACACCGAATATCTCTGACCTTTGGTCTCTTCAAATGAAGAACGTGATCGGTTTTGTTATTACCTATATACCTAAGTAAAACAGATGGTATTCCACTTCCTAAAAGTATTAGTGGAGAAAGAAGAAATTCTAGAATGTAAGAGTTTAAAAACCATATGTATGTATGTATGTATGTATGTATGTATGTATGTATGTTTGTATGTATGTATGTTTGTATGTATGTATGTTTGTATGTTTGTATGTATGTATGTTTGCATGTATGTATTTTTATGTTTTATTTGTGTGCCCGTGTATGTGAGGTGGTGGGAGTGCGTGTGCCATGGCACATGTGTAGATGCCAGGGGACAACTTTGTACATTTGGTTCTCTCCCTCCACCTTTATGTGGGTTCTAAGGTTCAAATTCAAGTTACCAGGCTTGCCCAGGAAGAGCTCTTATCTACTGGTCCCTCTCACGACCCCAGAATATAAAACTTAAATTACAGATATAACCATTTGCTTCTCCACAAACAAATTTTAATGAGTATCCAAGAATACAAGTAAGGGAACATCCTTTGGCAAAATATATTTGTCTAAGATTTACCATTTTTTTAACTCTTTCATAGCTGGGAGAAACAGCTCTGAAAATGGCTAGGGGGGAATTTCGAATTCTTTGTGTGTTAGGGATAGAGGTGTCAGGGCTTCCACGAGGTTTGCCTACCTTGGTTGCAGGTTTTCCCAGCAAATCCAGGGTGACATTTGCACTTGTTTGGCCCGATGCACTCTCCATGTTTGCACTGTGGTTGACACACAGCTGTGGAAAGAGGACAGTGTGTGTGTCAATCCTGGGTCAGCAGTGCAGCCCCCATAAAGCACTAAGGTCACAGACTAGTGTGATGATGATACAAAACTAACAACTTTCAATAAAGTCACAAAAGTTATGAAACCACTGTTTCTTTCCACTGCCTACACTACAAAGGTACAGGTATGAATTTATTATATAAGTATCTCCTGGGGCTGAAAAATTTTGTTACCTGAGTATACTGCTCAAATAATCAAGAAAGGTAACAGATACCTTTACAAAAATGTTCACACACAATTTCAAAACGTACTCTCTCAAGTACAAGTCAACAAAATGTTTAGTTTGAACTTACTGGGTTTCTGTGAAATCAATAGTTTTCTAGGTTAGTATGTGACTTGGTAGCAAAGCACTTTTCTAGAATATGGGAGACTCTGGGTTTGATCAACAGTATGGTCAAAATCCAAAAGGACATAAATTTCTTATTAAATAACAACTTATTATTTTATAGGCAATGATAGCCTAAGAATAAACTGATTAAAAATGAAACAAACAAAACCAGAGTTTTTCGTTACTTCTCTTCACAGATATTCTCATCATCTTGATCCTTCCTAACCCTGGCATGCATTACAGTTTTGTTTTGTTTTGAAGTTACAGTGGCTCAGCAAAATTGAAAGATCCCAGTTTAACCTTACTCTTGCTAACAATCACATTCACTTCTCTCAAGAACACATGTCTTTTTCCAGCTCAGAAATTTACCCTGTCTGCCTTGTATCAGTGGAATTTCATGGGGGTCCCTTGTATACCGGAGGATACTGTAAATGTCTAAAGACATTTTGGAGTTTGCTGGCAGATAGGGCAGAGGCAACATCCTACAGTGTTCAGATGTCCCACCCACAAATAAGTTATCTAAATGACACCAGAATGTCATGGAGCCAAAGATGGGAAAGACTGTTCTAGTATACCTTATATGTTCATGATGTTATTATAACGGATACTATAATATGAAAAATAAAACTGTGATGTCTGACTTCAAGGAGTTGACAATCTTTTTAAAGGCAAAACCATTCCATGTTCCTTTTTAGATTTTGTGTGTGTGTGTGTGTGTGTATGTGTGTACATGTACATGTGAATACAGGGTCTGAAGAATCCAGAAGAGAACATCAGATACCTGAAAGCTGAAGTTATAGGCTGTTGTGAGCCACCTAACATGGGTATTGTGAACCAAATGTGGGTCCTCTGCAAGAGTAATCCACACTCTTAAAAACACTGAGCCATCACTCCAGCCCCACGACACAACACATGTTCTCAATTCAAGACAATTATTATTCATGAGCATATCGGTTAGCAAACACCCAATGAATGTGTAAAGACATCACCACATATGGGCTAGAATAGAAAGCCTAATAAAGACAAGTGTGCTGGATCGTGAAGCACGGGAACACGGAAGAAAGAAGATCACCCACGGAGAGGAAACACAAGCAGCAAGAGTTGACCAATGGTGAGAGGTCAGTCAAGAGGCCTGGGTAGCTAACGAGATGAGTAAATGCTCACAGAAGGATAAGAAACAGCCGATTGTGCTTGGAATGAGATGGTGTGGTGTTCCTAAACTCTCATACTGAAGTGTTTAACTTAACAAGTTTCTGTAAGACTATCATGATCAGGAGAATTACTGGATAAATTTGAAAGCTGTAAGGATTCCCACATGTTGACTCATTCAGAGGTAAAGGAAGCAATCAGGTCTGAGAAGTTCAAGTTCAGGCTGGACCTAGGCAGCCATGATTTGTGTTCGTGACTGGAAGAGATGAACTTCAGTAACCAGCAGACACAAAGCAGATAGGCCTTGAGCGAGGGCAATGCCGTCAACCCTGCCTCTGCCTTCTGAAGCCTTGGATGCCTGTTCCTTCTCTGCTGTGCTCCACTCTGGCATGCACTTCTAGTTTCCTCAATTCTCAAACATTCCCTGTGACACTCCTGCATCCGACCTACACCGATCTACACCTACACCATATGTTGGTTTTGGACATTCCCTCGCTCAGCTCTCCCTGGTATTCCAAAGAGCATACTGGTCCTGTCCCTGTCAGCCTGTTTATTATGACAATTAGGCCTGTTGACTATAATCCCTACTGTGGCTTCAAAGCACAGAAGAGGATGGGCAGAACAACGAGAAAAGAACGTGGAGGTTTCTGAAACTTGGACTTCAGACGTAGAATGCATTCAAAGGGGAAAGAACTGTGTTCATTTCTCTGAGACACAAAAAAAGGAGAGAGGACAAAAAACCCTTTGTGAGTAAAAGACACCCAAAAACCATGAATTTCTAGAAAGCTTTCCAGTATTACTTTCAGTGAATGGTAAACAGTTTATACTGAATGAAGATTTTTAAAGGAAGTCCATCAAACATGGTTCTCTGTAACATCTAGGCCTCATCATTAAGAAGTGCAAGTTTGAAAAAAAATTCATTTTAGAAAGAAAATATTCAAGGACTGTTAAGATGGCTCAGCAGGTAAGGGTGCCTCCCACCAAGTCTGATGACCTGAGTTTAATCTCAATGCTCTATATGGTAAAAGAGAACCACCAACTCCCACAAGGTGTCCTATGACCTCCACAGGTACCATGGTATGTGCATGCACATACATACATGAATAAATACTTTTTTAAAGACTGCTATTCCATTGATTATAACATTTTTATTTATGAATGTAAACTAAATAGTCTTCTGAGGCTCCCAGAACATTATATTTTCCTTAAAAGTAATATACATATCTGTTATATGTGAGTCAAAGTGATAATTCCCTAGGATAAATAGGATGTGAAAATATCTGAAGATATGAAAAGGTAGCTTTAAAAAATACCTATTTACTTGGAGGACACTTGGTGGTACAGACTTGTGGCCTCCAGGATGTATTACCTTTGACCTTTGACCAGCTGATGGCTTTCCATTCATGGTTTTTGGGTGTCTTTTACTCACAAAGGGTTTTTTGTCCTCTCTCCTTTTTTATTTGCTCTCAGCAGGATGCCCTAATCTTAGGTCCATCAAATGTACACATTCCAAGAGGTCAGGGCTGTTAATGGTTCTGCTACATTTGGGGACTCAGCATTTTAAAGAAACTGCTGATTGCATTTCTACCTGAAGTGACCAGTAACAGATTACCCAGCAGCTATTAAAAGTGGTAGAGTGCACACAGAGCTGACACAATCAATTATTTTCTTCACAGAAAATTAAAACTGTTTATAAAATTTTTCATAAAAGGACTTCCCTCTCCCCTCCCCCATCTTGGTTTTAGGTCGAAGATAGAAGTCAGTAAATATGCATCAAACATTTATTATACTCGATACACATGTGTGGAGAGATGGGGGAATGACTCATTTTGTTTAGGCCAACTAGAGAATTTCAAAGCAGAGGAGGAGTGTGGACAACTGTAATCATAGAGTCTCAAGTCTGAACTACCACAGAGAACAAATGTCCAAGGAAAGGTGCAGTGGAGACTACAGGCAAAGACTTCCCCGGGTGAACAGGTGGGAGAGGGGAAGGCAGTGAGGTGATTCTCACTGAGTGGGACAAGCCTTTGTAGGCTATCCCCCAAAGTCCTTAGACAGCAGATGAGATCAAAGGAAGCCCCAGACAGATCCTAGCAGGCCAGCAGGATGCTTTGGATTCCTGCCTTTCTATTTCCTTTTTGCCTTACTACAGAATGCCTGTTGGTTTTTATTTTCATAGTGCACAGTGAGTTTACAATGGAAAATTACATTTTCTCTTCTTCTCCTTGGCAGATAGGAGTATCCAAAGGACTCAGTTCTGGCTAATTTATAATATAAACAGAAGTCACTGAGTCGAGCTATTGGGGTGCTACTTAGGGGAGCTTGTCAAATATGCTTGTCTGTGTTCCTGCTGGGAACTGAGAGCTACAGCTCTCTTCTGACCAGAGATCTTGAGAATGAAAAGACAAATAGAGAAGGATTCTTAACACCAGCCCCATTCGTTCTAGCACTGTCACACTCCGCCAAATACAACCCCTGACTGGTCTTGAACACTAGGCTCCGGAATATGCACTTTACCTGCTCTTATCAAGACAGACAAGGGTATTGGCTCTGCTTTTTTGGATACACAGTTGGAAGTCCTATTAGTAACTTCTAGTATGGAAACAGAACACACCATGTTTTTTTTGAATCTACAATGCCACATACTTATGCAAGTATGCCAAGAGCTTCATTAATACATATAAGTAACCAGAAAGCACATGCCCATTTAGAAATCTATACAAAATTGGCTCCCCATTTTTGTGTAAACTGGCCTGCCTAGTAATAACTAATTCCGTTGTAATGTGACTTTCAGGGATGGGTAAAAACTGCATGCATAAAATATACTACTCAGTGAATTGAGGCGTTCGCATTGAGGCATTACTGAAGAGAAAGGACTGATGATCCAAACCGTCACCAGGAGATAATGCATGAAACCTGGAAGAAATATACTACAGGTAATCAGAGAGGCCTACCTGGGTTCTCTGATCTCTGTGTGGATCAGGAACAAGAGAGCCGGACCACATTAGACGGTGTGCTGTCCCTGCCATACTTATATGGTTTCAGCTCAGTAAAGAAAGGTCTCATAAGGATCACTGATCTGATAGATTATTCTCCCTTAAAGATCAGTACACAGAGGTACATCATGCTCAAAATGTGCCCCAATATCCCTGTCACATCTCTGGGGACACTGAGTAACTGCTAAGTCATTGTTTTGACAAGAAAGAGAAACACGTCTCCCCTTTCAGAGCAAACACAGTTCTTCAATACCCTGAGGCCACACTTCTCACCTTTGAGTGTATTCTAAAAATATACTCAGAGTTATCCTAACTGTTGCAGCTGGGATTCTGAAAATCCAACAGTGCTTTGTTGTTCTCGCAAAAATATTGATCTATCCAAAGCTAGGAGGCAATCCACCTCACTTACTAATTGTATAATGTTTCACACACAAGTGAATTACACTGGCCATCAAGGGCCAGCATCTGCGCTAATAAAGA